CCAAGTACCTGTGATCACAGGCATGCACAACCACACTCGGCTAATTTTGTATTTTTAGCAGAGACGGGGTTTCACCACGTTGGCCAGGCTGGTCTCAAACTCCTGACTGGAGGTGTTCCACCTGCCTTGGCTCCCAAAGCGTTGGAATTAGGGGCGTCAGCCACTGTGCCCGGCCCATTCAGCATATAATTTTTTAGTGCCTACTACGTGCCAGGCACAGTGAGATGTGGCATACATGGCTGTGATAGCCTTCGAAATTCACTGGAGGGGAAAGGGGTGACCAAGCACTGCATGGGAGAGCTCTCCCTGGGCCCTGTGCAAGGCTGGAAGAGGTTCCTGACCCAGCCTGGGCCTTAGAAAAGACTACGCTCACGAAGTGACTTCTGAAGGGAATCACAAAAGACTATGGGGAGTTTGCCAGGATAAGAGGAACAAGGGCAAAAACCGGGAGGCAAAAGGAGTCTACAGCAGGCTGGAAGCCCTCTGGGGGCTGTGTGGGCTGCTGCTGAGGCCTGCGTGTGCCTGCAGCTTTAACGTCTTCCACATTTTCCCTGTATACAAACACCAGGCTACCAAGGGGCCCGCTTTAAGGTGGCCCCGACTGCGGAAGGCTGAACTCAGATGGCAGCAGTTGGCGGGGGTCCCAGGGGGTGGGTCCTTCAGGAGGTAAGAGCTCTAGAGGCTTCCCATGCGGGGCACGGCTGGGGACGCCGAGCCCAGGAGAGAAGTTTGCAGGGTCCACCTTAAGCGAGAGGCTGAGCCCGGCCGGGCCCCGCCCCGCGTAGGGGTGCTCGACCAAAGGAGGCTCAGGCGGGCGACGGAAGGTGGGTCCAAGGAGCTAGCTTCGAGTTCTAGCCTTCAGAGGCTCCACTACTAGGCTAAGCCCCCGCCCTAGCTCCGCCCCACACGGAGGGGCGTCCAGAGGCGGGGCGAGTCGCTCCACGCCCGAGGATCCATGAACCGCTCTAGCAGCCAGAGGCGCGGCCTGCCTCCCCTGCTGAAGCGTTCACTTTAAGTTTGGCCGGGAGGCAGCTCCAGATCTCGCGGGATCCGACGCCCCGATTCTCGCGAGAGGAGCAATCGGCTCCCATTGGCTGTGAGGGTTGAATGTAAGATGGCGCCCAGGGAGCTGTGAGGAGAAAATCCTGTCGGTCTTGGAGCTACGACGGCAGAACCGGGGTCCCGGGCGGTGCGGCGGGGCCGGCGGGTAGAGCGGAGGCGGCGGCGGCGGTGACGTCGCCGGGTGAGGGCTCCAGTGTGGGCGAGGATGCGGCGATGCTGTGGGCCTGGGACGGTGGGCCCACCCCACACAACGGCGGGCGGGGGCGGGCGGGCCGCTACCGCTGGGCCCTGAGAGCTCGGGGCGGCTCCGGAGCTGAAAACGTTCCTGGGCTCGCGTACCCCGCCCTGTGGATGGGGGAGGGGTGGGCCGGGGATTTGGGTGGGCGCGGCGCGACATCGCGCGCTGGTGCGGGCGCGCGTCTAAACCTGTTTTTACGCGCGGGAGCGCGCGCGCTGTGCGGCTCTCTCGGTGCGCGTGGCCGCCGACGTGCGCGTTCCTCGCCCGGATATCTCTGCTCTGTGAGCTTTGGCCCACGGGCAAGAGAGGTTTTTCCAGGGCGTGCGCCCGCCACGACCCCCAGTTTTGGTGCGCGCGCCCTGATGTTGGGTGGCGGTGCCGCCTCGAGAGCGCGCATGAGGCCTCTCCTGAGCGGAGGGCCGGCCGCCGCGCGTTGCGTGGGGAAGGTTGAGGATTGGGTCTTTTGTGGTCTGGTGACGTTCTCGGGCATCCGTGGCCTAGGCCTGAAGAGAAACAAACTAGCTTTGCTGTCTGGCTTGCGGCTTCGCTCCTCTGTGAGGGGGGCGAGATTGCCTGTTCTCTTCTAATAATGCCGTTACTTGAGGCCCAAGTGCGGGGTGGGTGCTTGGGTAGGGTGGTTCTCTGCTTCAGAAACCAAGCCCTGTTGGCTTGAGAGGGCAGTGAGCCCCTTCGGGTTACCTCACCTTGTACTGAGCTGTGTGTCGGGCAGGTACCTGCTTATCTTTCATTAGAAACTAATACGTCCATAAGCGCAATTCGTACACGTCACCTCTGCGCTCCGGAAGGGAATTCTCTTATGTGGACGTTGTGAACTCCGAGCTGTAAAATGCTACTTTAAATCCTTAAACGCAGTTTTTTCTTTTGCGTAGGTGGGAGGGGCTTGCTTTAGTCTGTTATACTAAGGGTCCACCGTTGCCTCAGCCAAAAAGTTGCCTCGGAACAAAATTGAAAACCTGAGAATCAGTGCTATACCTTTTTTGAAATTCTGGAAATCTCCAGCAGAAATTCCTAAAATCTGACTGTGTATCGCTGTAAAAGTCACTTTTGGTTTAGGATTTCAATCCTTTTCAGCTCTTTTTTTTCACCCCGCCACTGTGTTTTGGTGTCAAGGAAGTTCTAGGTTTGTCCTAGAGAATTATGCACTTTTTGTTTTCTAACACAAAACATCTGCTAGTTTATAATTTACAGTCTTGCTCAATTAAGCTTAAGGAAAAGGAAGCTAAGAGGAAGTAAACTTAGCAATCAAATTTGATAATGGTGGGGTAGTTCTTTCTAATGTACTGTATTTTTTTTTAAGAACAAAGTTAAAATTATTAATAAAAAGAGGCTGAGGATGGAAGGAACTTTTTTGTTCTATCTTCTTCAGAATGTTAGAAGTCTTAAGAACTCAGGACAAGCAACAGAAATACATGCAACATGGTGACTGGTGAGTTAAAATTGTTCATATGCTGGAAGTATGTGTGCATAGTTTTTTTTTTTTTTTTTTTTTTTTTTTTTTTTTTTGTAATACTGAAGCATTACAAATCCTGTCAATTATTCTGGGTGCTGTCTTCCAGAAACTGTTAGGTGCTGTAAAATGAAGATGTGGGAGAACAGCATCTTTGAATTCAGCCACAGTGCTACTTGGGCAGTTTTCTTCTCTTAGGATGCAAGTCAGTGGAACCCACAGATTTAAGCATGGCAAGGAATCATCTTTTAAAATGACCTAAATGGTTCAGAGAAAAGCTGTAAAGTTTACACTTAAAATTTTGATACTTTTTTTTTTTTTTTGAGACAGAGTCTCACTCTGTAGCCCACACTGGAGTGGAGTGGTGCGATCTTGGTTCACTGCAACCACCGCCTCCTGGCTTCAAGCGATTCTTCTGCCTCAGCCTCCTGAGTAACTGGAATTACAGGCCCGTGTTATCACGCCCGGGTAAATTTTGTATTTTTGGTAGAGATGGGGTTTCACCATGTTGGTCAGGCTGATCTCAAACTTCTGACCTCCTGATCCGCCTACCTTGGCCTCCCAAAGTGCTAGGATTACAGGCATGAGCCAAATTTTGTTACATTTTTTAGGTCTGCCTGTTTTGAATTATCTTTGTTTTTAACTATTATGCTTGAGATCTTCCTTTGAAATTAGTGTTTAAAAATAATGTTTGTCGGCCGGGTGTGGTGGCTTATGCCTGAGGAGGGTGGATCACTTGAGGTCAGAACTAGTGACTATGTTCACTAGTCAACATAGTGAAATCGTGTCTCTACTGAAAATGAAAAATTAGCCAGGTGTGGTGGTGGATGCCTGTAATCCCAGCAACTTGGGTGGCTGAGGCAGGGGAATGGCTTGAACCTGGGAGGTGGAGGTTGCAGTGAGCAGAGATTGTGCCACTGCACCACTCCAGCCTGGGCGACAGAGTGAGACTCCATATCAAAAAAAAAAAAAAAAAAAAAGCTGGCACGGTGGCTCACGCCTGTAATTCCGAAACTTTGGGAGGCTGAGGCAGGTGGATCATCAGGGTCAGGAGTTTGAGACCAGTTTGGCAAACAGGGTGAAACCCTGTCTCTACTTAAAATGCAAAAATCAACAGGACATGGTGGTGGGTATCTGTTATCCCAACTACTCAGGAGGCTGAGGCAGGAGAATTGCTTGAACCCAGGAGGCGGAGTTTGCAGCAGTGAGCTGAGATTGTGCCATTGCACTCCAGCCTGGGCAACAAAAGTGAGACTCCATCTTAAAAAAAAGTTTCTCCAAGTTTGTCAACTATGATTTGCTTGTTAGATGTCTTCCTTTGGGTCCTCTCTGATGAATTGTTTGTATACCTCTTCAAGAACCTCTGCACAGAGTTCCACATCCTTTTTCTAGCTTGTGTTCCATTTCAAACTAAAGATCAAATAGTGGTTAAATTTTTTTGTAAATTTGAATAGTTCTAGAAAAGTAACCAAAGTCAGGGGCTCTGGATATGGCTTCCCTTCTTTAAGGCAGCTTCATAATCATTATTTTCTTTCCTTACATTTGTATATGCTTTCTTTTAGTTTAATTAGTTATGGTATAAGTTTGTTGTGCCATGCTTCTTTCTTGTTTGCGTTTTATTTATTTATTTGCTTTTTTGAGGCAGCCTTGCTTTGTTACCCAGGCTAGAGGACAGTGGCATGATCATGGCTCACTGCAACCTCTGCCTCCCAGGTTTAAGTGATTCTCCTGCCTCAGCCTCCCAAGCAGCTGGGATTACAGGCATGCACCACCACGCCTGGCTAATTTTTGTATTTTTAGTAGAGTCGGGGTTTCACCATGTTGGCCAGGCTGGTCTTGAACTCCTGACCTCAACTGATCTACACACTTTGGCTTCCCAAAGTGCCAGGATTATAGGTGTGAACCACCCCACCCAGCCTCTTGGCGGCTTTTCTTTGTTTTGTTTTGAGACGGAGTCTTGCTCTGTCACCCAGGCTGTAGTGCAGTGGCTCGATCTTGGCTCACAGCATCCTCCGCCACCTGGGTTTAAGTGATTCCCCTGCCTCAGCCTCCTGAGTAGCTGGGACGGCAGGCGTGTGCCACCACACTCAGCTAATTTTTTTGTATTTTAGTAGAGACTGGGTTTCACCATGTTGGCCAGGATGGTCTCAATCCCCTGACCTCATGGGCCGCCCGCCTCAGCCTCCCAAAGTGCTGGGATTACAGGTGTGAGCCACCGCGCCCAGCCCCTCTTTTCTGCTTTTTAAAATGGCCACTCTTGATCTGTAACTGTCTCTTATTTCTGAATTAGCCTTAGAATTAGGTGTTACATGAATACTTGCTCTTTTCTGTTATTCTGTTGCCCTGCATTTTGTTCCAGATGTTTTAAGTCCTCTCCAGACTTCACTTAAATGCTTCCTTTGTATTATTTTTTCCCAGTTATAACATTAGATTGTGATTTCTGTTATTAAATTGACATGGCTGCATGAAGAAATGATAGATTAATTTCTTCCTTTGATGAAGGAGGGTAGGACTGCTCCTTTGGTCTCACTCTTAAGGCCAGGGCAAAACCAGAACTGGTGGCTGTGTCAGAAATCTAATGTGTTTTTCTTTTTTTAAAATTTGTGAAATATCCACCCATGTAAATTTAGACAATATCTGTACAATTCAATGAAAAATTATAGATTAATGCTGGTGTAACTACTTTTTCAAGAAATAATGCCAGTATCCCTAAAACCTTTGTGGGTTCTTTCTGGAACACGGCTTCTCAAGCCCTATGGACAACTGTTACTCTGTGATAATAGCATTCTTTTTCTTTTTGCCTTTGCCACCTTTGTAACCCTTAACCTAGTTTACCTTTGTTTCTTTTTGAGTTTTATATAAATGGAGTCATGCTGTATTATCTTGTCTTTTTTTGGCATAATATTTCTGAAATTCTTCACATTGTGTGCAGCTGTTCATTCCCGTTTTTTATGTAGTATTCTGTTGTATGAATATACCATAACGTATTTATCTATGGCACTATTGATAGACATCTGGGTTGCTTCCACGTTTTGGCTGTTAACAAACTGCTGCTGTGGATGTTCTTGTGTAAGAAGTTCCTTCATATACACTGATGGGTAAAATTGCTTAGTAGGAATAGGTATTTTCTTTTTTCTTTTCTTTTTTTTTTTTATTTTTGAGACGGAGTTTCACTCATGTTACCCAGGCTGGAGTGCAATGGCACGATCTCGGCTCACCGCAACCTCCGCCTCCTGGGTTCAGGCAATTCTCCTGCCTCAGCCTCCTGAGTAGCTGGAATTACAGGCACGCGCCACCATGCCCAGCTAATTTTTTGTATTTTTAGTAGAGACGGGGTTTCACCATGTTGACCAGGATGGTCTCGATCTGTTGACCTCGTGATCCACCCGCCTCGGCCTCCCAAAGTGCTGGGATTACAGGCGTGAGCCACCGCGCCCGGCTAGGAATAGGTATTTTCAGTCTCACTAGATAATGCAAGTGGTTGTGCCAATTCACAATCCGTCAGTATTTGGAAGATATAAGAATTTTAATTTCGTGATTGAAAATAGAACTATGGGCAGACTCAGTGGCTCACGTCTGTAATCCCAGCAGTTTGGAAGGCCAGCGCTGGCGGATCATCTGAGGTCAGAAGTTTCAGACCAGCCTGGCCAACATGGTGAAACCCTGTCTCTACTAAAAATACAAAAATTAGCTGGGCATGGTGGTGGGTGCCTGTAATTCTAGTGACTTGGGAGGCTGAGGCAGGAGAATCACTTGAACCTGGGAGGCAGAGGTTGCAGTTAGTCAACACTGTGCCATTGGACTCCAGTCTGCGAGACTAGGCGAGACTTCATTTCAAAAAGAAAAAAATAAATGAAAATAGAGCATGATGAAAATGCCCCTAAACCAGGGACTTCTCTGTAAAGGTATGGGGCAGATAATTGGCCTAATGGGATATTTTCCATCACAAACCCTGCAGTGGGCTAGTATCCTGAAGAATAGAAACATGGGTGGAACACAGTGGTCATGCCTGTAATCCTAGCAGTTGGGGAGGCCAAGATGGGAGGATTGCTTGAGCCCAGGAGTATGAGACCAGCCTGAGCAAAATGACAAGACCCTGTTTCTACAAAAAAAATGAAAATAGCCAGATGTGGTGGCATGGGCCTAGTCCCAGCTACTCAGGAGGCTATGCTGGGGGATTGTTTGAGCCCAGGAGTTTGATGCTGCATGGAGCTGCATTCTAGCCTTGGTGATGGAACAAGATCCTGTTTCATTAAAAAAAACAAAAAAGAAACAAAAAAAAACCCCAGACAAACGGCTGGGTACAGTGGCTCACGCTTGTAATCCCAGCACTTTGGGAGGCTGCGGGGGTCTGGATCACCTGAGGTCAGGAGTTTGAGAACAGCCTGGCCATCTAAAAATAAAAAAAATTAGCTGGGCATGGTGGCACGTGCCTGTAGTTCCAAATACTTGGTAGGCTGGGGCAGGAGAATTGCTTCAAACTAGGAAGGGTTCAAGTCACACTTTGTCGCCTAGGCTGGAGTACAGTAGTTTCATCTTGGCTCACTGCAACCTCCGCCTCCTGGGTTCAAGTGATTATTCTGCCTCAGCCTCTGGAGTAGTTGGGACTACAGGCAGGTGCCACCACGCTGGGCTAATTTTTTTTATTTTTAGTAGAGACGGTTTCACCATATTGGCCAGGCTGGTTGCAAATTCCTGACTCAAGAGATCCGCCCGCCTCGGCCTCCCAAAGTGCTAGGGTTACAGGTGTGAGCCACTGCGCCCGGCCTATTTTATTTTATTTTATTTTATTTTATTTATTTTGGGACGGAGTCTGCCTCTGTCGCCCAGGCTGGAATGCGGTGGCGTGATCTCAGTTCACTGAAGTCTCGCCTCCTGGGTTCAAGCAGTTCTGCCTCAGCTTCCTGTGTAGCTGGGACTACAGGCGGGATTGGCCATGCCCGGCTAATTTTTATATTTTTAGTAGAGATGGGTTTCACCATGTTGGTCAGGCTGGTCTTGAACTCCTGACCTTGTGATCCACCTGCCTTGGCCTCCCAAAGTGCTTGGATTACAGGTGTAAGCCACTGTGCCCAGCCCCATATGAATGTATTGAAACTGGTCTAAGCTATGAAGAGCCATTGTTGCAGTAGATGTGAACCTTGAGGGAACTCAAAGCCCAAGGAAGAGGTAAAGTTCTGAGGCAGCTCATACTTTCTTCTCTTAGTCCATCACGGATTCAAGACTCACTCTGCAGAGCCATACCATACCGGGAGCCCAAAAGAGGTATCAGGCATAAGAAACCCAAGAAAGGGTGATTGCACTGAGATCTTCTCTTGGTATCTAAGTGGAAAAAAGAAAGAACTTTGTAAACAGACCTATAGAAATGTAATATACCGTTGTTTTGGAGTAACCTTTGTCCATGGTACCATCTTATGTTCTAGTAATAAAATAATAAAAATAATAACTCATGTATTTAGGAATTGCTGCGTGTCAGGCACTATGCTAAGCTCCAGTAGAAGGAAATACAGAGGAGATACCAATGATCAATTTGAATTTATACCAGCAAAAATGTCCAGGGTCTGTTTAAGGGAGTGCTGGTTTTCCTTTATTGTTTTACAAAGCAGCTGTGTTTAAAGCATTGAGAAGTAAATGCTTGTTTACAGACCTCATACACCCCAAGAGCATTAGGGTATTTTCTTTTTTCATTATTAATCTTTTTTTTTCTTTTAATTTTTTTGCGACAAGATCTTCAAAGCATCATTACCAATCTTATCAGAGTCCCAGAACACTCAAATATCCTTATGGCTCCATGTTTTTCAGAAATACTTTAATTTCTTTACTGCTTCTCACTAATTCTTTTACTTGGAGCTAGTTTAGAATTTTTTGTCTCTTTTAGAAGTTTCTTCATTGCTCTTTTTTTTTTTTTTTTTGAGATGGAGTTTTGCTCTTGTTACCCAGGCTGGAGTGCAGTGGCACCATCTCGGCTCCTGGGTTCAAGCAATTCTCCTGCCTCAGCCTCCCGAGTAGCTGGGACTACAGTCACGCGCCACCATGCCCAGCTCATTTTTGTATTTTTAGTAGAGACGGGGTTTCACCATGTTGACCAGGATGGTCTCGATCTCTTGACCTCGTGATCCACCCGCCTCGGCCTCCCAAAGTGCTGGGATTATAGGCATGAGCCACCATGCCCAGCCCATTTCTCTTTATTACCAAGGCTCAACTTTCGTGTTTTATGAGCAGCATCTTGAAGTTAAGACTTCATTATTTTGTGCAAGTTTTTGTTATCTTATGGTTTAGTTTCTTTTTTCTTTTTTTTTTTTTTTTTGAGATGGAGTTTCACTCTTGTTGCCCAGGCTGGAGTGCAGTGCCTCAGTGTCAGCTCACTGCAACCTTCCTTTTCTGGGTTCAGTCGATTCTTCTGTCCCAGCCTTCTGAGTAACTGGGATTACAGGAATATGCCACCACGCCCGGCTAATTTTTTTGTATTTTTAGTAGAGACGGGGCTTCATCATGTTGGTCAGGCTGGTCTTGAACTCCCGACCTCAGGTGATCCACCCACCATAGTCTCCCAGAGTGGTGGGATTTACAGGAGCGAGCCACCTTGTTTGGCTGGTTTAGTTTCCTTTGAAGAGTTTCAGGCCGGGCGCGGTGGCTCATGCCTGTAATCCCGGCACTTTGGGAGGCTCAGGCAGGTGGATCACCCAAGGTCAGGAGTTTGAGGCCAGCCTGACCAACATAGAGAAACCCCATCTCTACTAAAAATACAAAATTAGCCAGGTATGGTGGTGCATATCTGTAATCCCGGCTACTCGGGAGGCAGAAGCAGGTGAATTGAACCCAGGAGGCAGAGGTTGCGGTGAGCCGAGATTGCACCACTGTACTCCAGCCTGGGGGGCAGAGTGGGACTCCATCTTAGGAAAAAAAAAAAGCTTCAGATTTTGATTTTGAAGGAAAATCATACTGTGATCAACCATAATTGTTTATATGTCTGTTACCATTACTGCACTGTAGCCACTGTGTAGAAAAAGATGATTTTTCTCATCTCCTGATCTGCCTGCCTCGGCCTCCCAAAGTGCTGGGATTGTAGGCCTCAGCCACCACATTCAGTGATTTTTAAATTATATTTTAGATTATTAATGGAACTTGGGGAAAATACAGAAAAGTATTTAACAGGAAGAAATCTAAATCCTCTGTGATTCCATTATTCAGTCATAACTACTGTTAGCATTTTTTTTTTTTTTTTTTTTTTTTTTGGCAGAGTCTCACTCTGTCCCCAGGCTGGAGTGCAGTGGCGCAATCTCAGCTCAGTGCAGCCTCCGTCTCCCAGATTCAAGTGATTTTCATGCCTCAGCCTCTAGAGTAGCTGGGATTACACATGCCTGCCATTATGCCCAGCTAGTTTTTGTATTTTTAGTGCAGATGGGGTTTCACCACGTTGGCCAGGGTGGTCTCAAAATCTTGGCCAGGTGTGGTGATTCACACCTGTAATCCCAGCATTTTGGGAGGCCAATGCTGGTGGATCGTTTGAGGCAAGGAGTTTGAGACCAGCCTGACCAACATGGTGAAACCCTATGTCTACTAAAACACAAAAATTAGCTGGACGTGGTGGCAGGTGCCTATATTCCCAGCTACTTGGGAGGCTGAAGCAGGACAATCACTTGAATTCAGGAGGCAGAGGTTGCAGTGAGCTGGGATCATGCCATTACACTCCACTCTCGGCAACAGAGCAAGACTCCACCTCAAAAAAAAAAAATTTAGGCCGGGCATGGTACCTCACACCTGTAATCCTCGCACTTTGGGAGGCGGAAGCGGGTGGTTTACCTGAGGTCAGGAGTTGGAGACCAGCCTGGCCGACAGAGCAAAACCCTGTTTCTACTAAAAATAAAAATATTAACCAGGTATGGTGGCAGTTGCAGCTGCTCAGGAGGCTGAGGCAGGAGAATCACTTGAACCCAGGAAGCAGAGGTTGCTGTGAGCCAAGGTCGCACCATTGCACTCCAGCCTGGGTTACAGAGGGAGATTCCATCTCAAAAAAAAAAAAAAAAAAAAAAAAAAAAAATTAGAGCTGGTTTCACTACATTGCCTAG